AATTCAAGAGCCTGGGAATGAATTCAGGGGTTTCTTAATTTTGCAGGCAACATTAAGCAATATGATATGACTTTAAATAAATTAATCCATACAAAATTCAAGTCTACAATGTGACTGTGCTAAAAATGACACGGGGACTCATGACTGAGAAATAAGATTTTCCCAGGCATATGTTAGAGACTGAATTTGGGATAGGTTTCTCAGTGTACTGTTAACAACTCACTATCAAAGGATGATCATGTAGTAAAACTCTAACAGTCTGAGCAGGTACAATTTTATCTCCTTTCCTAGGTAGCAGCAAAAAGTACATTCTGATGTTAAATATTGATTTTATGTACTTAAATAACTGATGAAGACATCTCATGAAGAACAGGATCAGACATTTACACCATGAAAGAGCATTTGCACAATGAAACTGAGATTATTTACATATTAGTACTCTCTAACACAATATGTATTTACAGCCATCTCTCTGTTGAGGGGAACATGCAGATGAGTAAGGTCATGGAGCTGTCTCAGTAACAGCATATGTGCCCCTGGGAGAGTCTGCAGCTACAGCTGTTAACCAAGATCATCTCTCCAATTCTACCTACATTCATGTTGGTATAATGGTATCAATTTCTGTGCCAGTACCATCCTCTCCCATAGATTTATAGTGACTTTGCAGAGGAACAATGATCTAGGAACAATGCAAACTGACTGGAATCAGAGGCAGCCAAGGGTCATAGTTTCAGTAGGATATAAAGTAATGCTGATTTACAGGGAATGAAAATATTACTCTCTTTGAGAGATTACTCTTGAAATTCATAACTGTATGACTAAAACATATTTCTGGGTAGCAGGAAAGCTTCTCCAAAAGCTTTCCTTCTGCCTGGGGCTTTAAATTCACCACTTCATTCTTCATGTGCTGGGCCCCTCGCTGCCATTCCAGAGCTGTGGACTCACCCCCTGCAATTCTGCATTGAGGGGTACTGGGAGAAGCAGCTGATGCCCTTGCAAGGCCATTCTGCCATTTTTGGGTCTGTGGAAGTCCAGCTACACAGACACAAACAGGGGCTGCTCAAGATATTTCAGTAAATTGTCTCAGCATCAACATGATTCTCTCCATTACTCACTTAGCACACATTCATACCTGTTACAGTTTAAAATCTGAAATAGACCTCTGAGTGGGAGTGTTTAATGCATTCAGAATGAAGGTCATATACTGGATTTATTAGAGTGAAAATCCTTTCATCAGAACAGTTCAACCAGGACAGCCCTGCTCTCTTCTGGGAGGTTATCTTTGCTTCTGCCTGCACTTAAATACTGTAGTGGGGTGGGCAGTGAAGGGATGGGAAGCAGAATCACACTTTTAACATTCTTTTCTTCTTCAGAGAGCACCTTTCAACTCCTCAGGCATCACCTGAGCTACACCCATCTCACTAAGGAGGCTGAAGCCACTAGCACATGCTGCAGACTACTGGCATCACTGGTAGAGGGAGAGAAGGCAGCAACACTCTATCACTGTGGCACATTAGTTCCCCATATTAAAAAAACCCTACAATCCATCTCTCTCCCTGCAATAAAAACTAGGATGCCTCAGACTGCACTATAAATTATATATATATATATATATATAATTATATATAATTATAATTATATATACAAATAAATTGTTAACAATAGTGGTGGTGGCTTTGTTTGTTAGGGTTTTTTAGGGGGCATCTTAGATGTCAGGGGGCTTATTTCTGTTTTTCAAATCAAGGCCCCTGCACACACCTTCCCCTGGGTTTAGTTGGTCTCATCAAGGTTACTAAGTAACCTTGAGTTGTATTCAGCTTTTCTACTGTTCTTTTGAGAAGGAAATTGAATCCCTCCCATGTTTGAGAAGCCCAGCTTTCAGTTTAAATAGGATTTTTCAAGTATTAGCATATCAAACAGTATAGTTGACAGCATGCAACATAAGATTAGCACATTTTATTTTTTCCATGTCTTAGCTTCCTTCTGTCCTACTATTTTGCATTTTTAGTGACTGCAAACCAAAGGCAAGCTTGGTAGCCATCTGTAGGAGCAAGAGACTGGGTGTATTTACACAACAGCTTAATTTGCTTTCAGGACTCAAATCTGCTGGGTCCTCCATGAACACTGCTGGCCCTCTGGAAGTCTACAAGGCAACATTTCAGCCCTGACCCCTGATAATATTTACCAGTACTGAAGAGCTGGATCCCAGAATGCTACAGAGGATGTTAGTTACATTAAAGAAGACAGCATCCTCTCCTGATCATACATTGTTCAGGGGATGTGCCAGCTCAACACAGTATGTTAAATAGGACATGAAGATAGCAACTCTGCCCCATCTCTGCATTGGCAGCAAGCAAAAGTGATTGCAGATGGTATATGTGATTCTAGAGTTTTAGAATCTACATTCTGCAGCAATATATTGAGCTTTTCAGTCTAATTTTACCATTTTGTTGTATATTTGATGAAAAGCTCACAAATTTAGTGTCAGTGTGGAAAGTGAAATAGTTGCATTGATTGTCTCAAAGTGTTTAAACACACTGAATGTAAAATTTGGTCACAGGTTTATTGTGGGTATGGATCTCAATGCAGACAGCCACTAACATTCCACAAACATAAATGATTTGAGGTAGACTTCATAATTCAGAAATAATATATATTAGTAGGATATAAAACTCCAAAACTCATGAAAAACATAGTAGGTCTTTATCTGCTTTTTCAGATACTACCATCTATATAGGTAACCCTTATATCACTCCTCTGGCTAGTACCAGAACTAGAGTCTTGTGGTAGAATTGTCATGGGAAAAGACAGACTGAAAAAAATGAAATTACTTTCATTTCTCAACCTCAACTATATTGCTAGGGCTGCTATTAGCATTACTTCCTAAAAACCTCTCAAGTATGACATACATCATTACCTTCCAGGTATCCATAACTGCAGTCAGTGAAATGCTACATTAAAGTGATGCCAAAGCTCCTTAATCAAGTTCTACTTTTCCTGCATTAGGTGATTCACTGGTTCACGAAAAAGCAGCTGCAATATGGAGCAAGGTCAGCCCCACAGTGCCCACGACAGCTCATTAAACTGTGTGGCACCTGCTACCCATCCACAGGAAAAACACCCCAGCTCTGAGGCTTAAGAAGCAAGGATTCTGAAGAAAAACAAAAAGAAAAAAAAATCACAACAGAAATGTAGCAGGACCTTTACCTCATCTGGCAGCAAGAGATTTCTAGCAAAATTAAATGTGTGATTTGGTATTCCTTAAGTTGCCAGATAGACATCATCTTTACACTGGAAGGCAATTAGTGTCACTCATAATCAGTGTACCCAGAGTACTTTCAGGTGAACACATCCCAAAACCACATCCCAAGAATGCACTCAGTTACACAGTTGTACTGAGATCTGTATGAAATTTTGAGATGTAAAAGGAAAGCAATGTACAGGCAACCAGGGAAAACTTCAAAATCTCTCAGAAGTTTCTGTCAATCAGGTCTTCGAAACTAGTCTATTTCAAGATGTCTGACCTTTCAGTAGTTAGATCACAAAATCATCTGCTTTGGGTGTTCCAGAATAACAATTTCCGGGCCTTTAAATTTGTCCAAATTCATAACTTATTATCTATTCTCATCTGTCACTGCATTTATTCACTTTTAAGGCTCTTTATACATTCCAGACAGCCAAAGTGGCATTTGAAATTTACCTGGTAGAATTTCACCCTTTGTAGTCCCCTACCTGCTTTGAATGGGGAAAAAAACAACACAGGAGAGGAATCCAAATCATGTAGTTTGAAGTCTTTGGATCAAATAAAACTGTTCACCATTAAAGATTTATTTCTGTTGATCCATCTCCAGATCAGTAGCACAAGACAGAAGATGTATCCATCTCTTCAAGCTCTTATCTAAACAAAGTAAACTAGTGCTGAAAGGTTGTTGTTCTCCCATTTACAATGTTCCATACAGGGCTTGGACAATTGTAAGAATGGTTATGACAACTGTGGGATGGAAAAATGACTCTATAAGAAAGAAAACAGCATGACTGTAGTTATTTTACCATCTAAACTCAGTTTTAAAAGATCAGCCTTTCTAAAGAGATTCACAAGCTGAAACAAAAACCCTCTACACACAAAGACCCCCATTTGTTATCCAAACCAGTAAACTGGTGTAGCACTCATGAATATACAACAGGTTTCTCCAGGACAAACATTAAAAATATCCCACTAAGTTGCTCCAAAACATCTGTGCAAGGCTATTTGTAACATTTGAATATTATTTGAACGTTCTGAATGTTCCAAAGTCATGTTCTTTGTTGCCTAGTTTTTAGAGATTTGTTTCTTTCAGCAACAATGGTTCTTAAAATAATTTTGCAGATAGGTATAACTGGGTCTGTCTGGGATGGAGTTAATTTTCCTTATGGCATACCAGCCATAGAGCTCTGTGCTTCGGGTTTGTGGATACAACAGTGCTGGTAACACACCAATGTTTTGGCTAATAATGAGCAGTGTTCACACAGCACCAGAGGTTTCCTTTTTCATTGCCTCTTCCCCCTTTGTGTCTGCACAAACCTGCAGGGCCCAGGCTGTGAATGGTCATGAAGCTGGGAGGGGACACAGCCAGGACAGATGCTCCCAGCTGACAAAAGGGATCCTATTCCTAGGATATGGGATCATGCCCAGCAATAAAAGCGCAGGGAAAAGAGAAAGGAAGGCTAATCAGGGTTATGGGGTTTGTCTTCCTGTTGTAAACACCTGCCTGCTGCTAAATTTATTTTGCTCTGCTTGTGCACACAGCTTTGCTTCTTTTATTAAAATGTCTTCATCCTGACACAAGTTTTCTTGCTTTTGTCCCGGTTCTCTCCACCATCCTACTGGAAGGGAAGAATGTACAAGCAATGGTGTGGGGGCTCACCTGGTGGCAGGGGCCAACCCACCACAACAGCCCAAGTTTGAACTCAGTTACTTCAGTAGCTCAGTCAAACAACACTAATTAATTCACAGATGGTGGTCAGCTTTCAGATACTCAAGTTTATTACAGACTTAACACAATAAAACATAGTATAAAAAAAGTAGATTGCAAAGTCTTCACATCATGGAATGCCAAGTTACAAAATCTGAATTCATATCCTTGAAAATACATGAAAGCTAGTGGGAAAATATGGTGAGAGAGAGGGAAAACTTATGTGAGGCAGGGAAGAAGGGGAAAAAAAATATTAAGTCAGTTTTAAAAAAAAATATATACGTGATCCAAGCTTTTTAAATATAAAATTTAATATCATTCTTTGAGTCAAACAATCCTGTCTAGAAACATATAATGAAGTTAGGTCCAGATTTTGAACCTCTAAATACCAAGATGCCTTGCGCCCCAGTTAGCTTACATTAACATAGCTTCTGTGTCCTACAAGTCATTCCAAAATACTCTGACTTCTAGAGTGTTTATCATGCTTTACTGGATAGATTGTTTGCTACACAGTTACAAGAACATCTTAAGTTACAAAAATAGTTATCACTCATTAGTATTTCTATACATATCTCAAGCTATTATATGCACACTCTGTACAGTTGATGTTAACAGCAGTTAAATTTGCTTCCTTAAAACAAACAAAAGAACTGAATCACAGTCAGTCAGACCCAAAATACTCAGGCACCATAATACACTTACATGTGTGGTACTAAACATCCCTGCCCATGCAAAGCAAAAGCAGTTTCAGTACCCAGGAAACACATGCATCCAAGTTGTAGGATCCTTGAGATGGCTGGAAGAGGAATGTATGAGGATCAGGATGTTACTGCCACTGAACAGCCTCCCACTAGACTGCAGGGCTCTCCACATGAAGTGTGCAGATCTCATGCAGACTGTTTTTCCTGGCCAACAGGTCTGCCTACTCATGGAAAAGCAGATTTATGTGGTAAAAGCTGTAGGAAGTAGAATTAACCCAAAATACCCCTCTGGTAATGATCAGCATTCCCAAGCTAAACATAATTTAGGAAGGTGACTTCTGAAGTGGAACAAACACTGGGTGTTTGCCGCAGCCAAATAATTGTTCTCAGCATCTTTTGGCTGGGATCTATTTCTCCTTCCTTGGGCCAAAATTAAAAAATGAGACATTTTGGCATGACCAGGGCCATCACTAACAAACATTTTGAGGGTTGCAAGTAGCCCATTGTTGAAGTATATTGATTGCACTTGCATTATTTATCCTTCCCTTTCCATGGCAGAAAGCCTGGTTGTGGCATTTTGTTAGGCAAGTAAAAAAAATTAGCTCTTGAGGTACCAGTGCGCTAGTCTTTCTCATCTCTTAACTCTAGAGGTGCAGTTCAGGTGATGTGAAGCTTCCTGCAGCTGCCCAACTCTGGAAGAAGTCACCCATTTCAGAAGCTGCTGTCTGGGAACAGACAGATGTCTTGCTATAAGATTAGTGGGGTGGGAAGAAAAACAAAACCACAGGAAGAAAACCCACCACCACTCAAAAAAGAAGGAAAAAAGGAAACCTAAAATGCTGAATAAGATACACCGTGATTTTTCTTTTAACATTTTCTGAATATAGAAATTTCTCTCATACCACTCCAAGCACCATCCTTTCCATCATGAGGGCACAACACTTCAGAGGTTAAAGACCCTCATGGTTCAATCCAAGCACTTAAGAGATTCGGTGTTTAAATGGTTCCCTTTATATACCACATGCTAAAAAGCCCAGGCAAATTTGCAAATGCACTACCTATGAAAAAATATATTCACTTGCAGAACTTCAAGGACAAGTTGAAGCAAAGTCAACTAAAACATGTACTCAAATCTGCCAACATCGGGCTGCAAAATATAAACACTACAATGTTAATATCAAGGTCATGCACACATCAGAAGTGCATTAAGAACTTCAAAGTTATACCACAGAGGAAAAAAAGATACTTATGTTTCTCTTCACAAAAGATTAAGAATTAACCAACCATCCCCATGACATTGAGATGAGTAAAGAAATTATGAATTAACTTCTACAAGCTTTTTCCCACACCAGGAATTCAAGAATGTCACGTATTTCACCTTTTAGTAAGAGTGCGTCCCTTTAAATCTCTCCAAATAGATATTTGATGGTTAGATCTTGGATGGTTTGGATCTTGGATGGTTATTTATTCATTTATTTTTAAAGCAGTGTATTTGAAATGTGCAATAACTTTGTTCCCCAGTGGCCAAACATTCTTAAGTGTTTTAAGTGTTCCATACTTACTTAAGCTAAAATTTTGAAATTTTACAGTTATTTTAAACAGAATACATTAAGTTGATTTTCAGCAGTGCCATTATAGTGCAACATCTGAACTATATTTCTTACTGTTTTAAGAAATAATTAACAGAGCTTCCATTTCAAAGTGCAAAAGGTTTTGGTAAAGGAACTGCTATGAAGTATTCAAGTGAAAAGCATTCTACTAGAGATAAACACTCTGCAATACCAGTATAAAGCCATTTGATAGTGTGTGAAAACTAGAGAAGTTACAAGTGAAATATGAATCACTTCAGAAGACACACATAAGATAAACAAAGAAAAAAGTTGTAATTTTTCAAGCCAACTTTCTGGAGAGAATTATATTTATTGATTTACAGATTAACTGAAAGGATTGCCTTTTATATTTTAAGATCAAGATAAAATGAATGTGAAAAAAAGGTCTGGTACTTGGATCTATACTGATACCTTGTTTACACAGTTATACAAGTTAATACTGAATTCCCTTGCTCCCTTAGCATGTTTCCAAGCTCAGTCACATAAAGCAAGTATAAGTTAAATATTCACACAGATGTTTTACCTGCTTATCTGATGTTATATTAAAATCAGCAGATAAATTTAAATACTTGCCTTATTTGGTTAGTGATATACTGACAGTTGTGCAAGGGAATACTAGCACTTGGAACTTTAAGCCTTTTATTCTCCCATTACTGACTTAATTTGAGAATTCAGTAGGATCTTTAACCCACAGCTTGTTTCTTAAGATGAGAACTCTTCATCGCTCAGGAAGTCAACCGCAAATTGATGTTTAGATATCCTAGATGAAAAAACCTGACTTTTATTTTCTCCCTTCTGACACATACATGGAAAGAATAACTCCACTCAGTTCTTTAATTTAAATTAGCTAATGCCAAGCATTTCATGCAAGGTTAAGAACCACAGATTTAAGTATTAATTTTGCTCAGCATGTCCACCAAAATTTCAAAAGCCAGTTTGAGTCTCAATGTTGCATAAAGTGTAACATCCTTCCTGCCATGCTTGTTCAAAAGCAGCATTCACTACTGTCACTGAATAATTGAATCATTGTACCATTCCAGTTATTTTAGACTACTTTTCATTCTTGGAAGAAAAATTTGTTTTAAATCAATATAACTAACTGCCTACAGCCATTTTGTTCTTTTTCTGTTTCAAAAAATCACAAACAACCCCCAAACAAAAATAGCACTCTAGTGTGTAAATATTTAAGCCTAGAAGAAAAGAGCCTGTATCACTTGCTGGCAGACTTCAGTTCAAATATGATTTAAACCAGAATTCTCTCTCTACTCTCTGTTATTAGCATACCTTTCTACAACAGGTATCATGAGTTTATCGCTCTGCTTCTAGCCAGCTCCCCACTCTCCTGGTCTTCAGGTATCACATGTATCTTTTCAGGCTATCAGACAAGCTTATCAATGCATTTTAGCAGCCACAGGACTGAACCTCATCTAAACTCTAGACAGGTGAGTCAGTTGTGAACTAATTTCCCTCATGACTCTGAGCTGTAATAATGTTTACTTCTAAGGGCCCAAAATCAAGAATAATCTTTAGACTATAACTACGATAAGTCATCTCAATTGACTACTCCAGTTACAGAAATTCTCTAAAGACAAAAGATGAAGTCATCTTATCAACAACTACATGAAACTGACAGTTGAGGTTCCAAAAGTTTTCATAGACTCTTGGAGTAAGTGCTCATAGCAATTCAAAGGGTGGAGGGTAGGGGTATTTACTTAATGTCTTTCAAATCAATCTTACATCATCCACAATTTTTGCCTACCCACCCCCTTAGGTCCATCTAAGAGGCCAGTAAAGAAAAGAATAATGTACTGAAGAACTGGAGCATTAGAGGTTGTTAGTGCCAAGTTACTCAGAAGCCTTTTTCTATTGTGTTTATTATCAATTAATTTTGTGTAGCTTATTTCCAGGAGATAGGCAGCACAAAACCAGTAATAGCTATTTTAAAAAATACATTATTCATTACAATGCAACAGTCTCAACAGTACCTTCTTACAGCTGCATCTCACCTAGTTCAGAAATAAAGCAATCCTGATCTAGCTCATTAAAAAGTTAACCCTCGTAACAGTCAGCCTTCAGGAGTCAAACAACTTTGGACCCAAAGCTTATAATCATGATTGACAATTACCCCAGAAATTCGCATGTGCAAACTGTGCTACAGAAACTATTTCATGCTGTCAGTCAGTAACCTCACAATTACATAAGCATTTACTCCTACAGAAAGAATTGATTCATCTTCCCTTGCATGATTTTGATGTGACCATTGAGTGCTCTGGAGGTACAGATAATTACTGCATATGCTTATTGAGCCTGTGCAAGAAATAAAGACAACCCAACATATTAACACTTAAAAGTTGCTTAGGTACATAATATATTAAAACAGTAAAAATCACAAAAAATTACACCAAGGTCTCCAAACCCATGCCCAAAGTTTCCCACCTAGTTCTAACTGCACAATCTTGATTTTAATACCTGTTCTAAAAAGCTTACTAAAAAACAGACTTGTAAAGTCTTGTTCGTTTTCTAGAGTCTTGTGTCTTTCCTTTGTCAGTAGTTGTTGTGGGGGTTGTTTCTTGTTTAGTTTTAAACCCAGATTTAAATCTAACAATATATATTCTCCTTATAACATCCTTACAACATCCCAGAGGTAGCAAGAGGGAATATGAATGAAAAGATGCCAGATTCTATAAACTGCACATTCAACTATAGTGTCATCCAGTTTTTCCTGGCTGTCATAGACTGCATGTCACCTCTAATCATGGATAGCAAATAAAGTGTAGAATCCCAGAATAAAGAACTGTTGCCACTGGGTTACTAATAGAAGTTTCATACCCAGACACCTCAAAGTAATCTTGTTATTTAAGTAGTAATACTGCATTTTCAATAGTCAAATATCAAGAACTGAATTATAAACTTAAAATTTATGAGTATTATTTTGAAAAAATGCTCATTAGTGAGACATTTCACCTAAACACAGACATACACACAGTTACTCTAAGTTGATGTACCACACTGTAAGGAAAAGTCCCAGTTCTGTTCAAAAATCTGATATTCCCCCCTCTCCCCCCCACCACACAACTTGACAGAAGTGCTTACAGTAACAGAAAGCAAACAGAAGGGGAAAACACAACATTTAACAAGTGCACCTATTTACAATTTGCACCTTTCCCTCTTTGCATCTAAAGTGTACAGATCTCCATGTTTGCTATGCTGTACATCGCATGTACTCTCCACTCCACCAGCTCTATCCAAAGGATCTCTGCAAGCACCAACAGCAGTCATTCCACACCAACCAACAGGTGCTTTTACTGTGGAGGCTGAAGGACATTTAAATACTCTGACTGGCCCAGCTGGTAAGTCGTGTTTCCTCCACAGTCCACATACTGGTATCTCTCCTGGGATATTTGCTCAGGGTGGCCTAAGTATGAGGTTGTCACTGTCACTCTTAAAAAGACAGAAGAGAAAAGATTTTGAGTTTCCTATTCTAAAAATCACTGTGTTTATATTACTAGGGTTATTAAGGAAAAAGTTTTGAAAAAAAATATGTTTTAAATAAATTTAAGAACATTACTGATTTACCATTATAGATTTGCTCCATGAGAGACATCTGGCTCCTTTTCCTAAAGATGCTAAAGCTGAGGTTTACTTGTAAGATCTACCACTACAAATAATATTTATTGTTTGTGACAAGAAAGCACACAATTAAACAAACTACAAGCCATGCTGTATCTAGTCTAAAGACATGCCCTGGTCCCTCACCAATGAAAGACCCCACCATGCTGAAATTTATGCAATGTCACAAAAAGCAGTCTCAGAATACTAAAGCCAGGAACTCTTTCAAAATCAAAGATCTCAACAAGTTTTCAACAGTGGCTGATACACAGTCATTTTAAAGTTTTTGAGCTTTGTCAGTAGCTCCATGGCTATAGCCCAGCTGCAGATACAGTAACAAGGTTTCTCAATCCAGTCTTTACACCACCAGTACCTGTCAAAAGATAGTTCACTAACTATAAAGCTACTACACTAGAAAGCAAGTTGACTTCATTTTATCTATGATGCAAAGACTCCAGGATCAGGTATTTGAGTATTATTTTAATAAGAATTACATGGCTTCTGAAGTTGTTTCTCACACACAGGAAGACTACCATACTTACTGCATCATCACTACTATGTTATGTACTTTGATAGATGGTAAAGTACAGAAGTCACTGCAAAAAAAAAAGAACAACTGTTAGATTTACAAGAAACTTTTCCACGGTAATTTTCTAAAAAGCAAGACTTCTGGCTTCAACTGGAATTCTGCTGTCTGTATATATAAAGACTACAGAGTTACTGGCAATGGCAACAGAATAATTTGCCAGTGACTGTATGCTCCCTGGACTCACTTTTACATACACAGTCTAACTTTCACAGGCACTGTTTTCACATGTGTTTGCTTTCATGTAATGCTTGCCAACAGAAGTGTCCTCAAAAAGTGTTCATTCCATCTTCTGGAAGCTAACCCAGGTTAACCTGAGCCACTACATTTAAAGCCTGTCAATATTACTTTGTCACCTTTTCTTTGCACTCATCCATGTAACAGTATGCAGAGTAACCTTTAAGCAACATACAGAGGTTCCAAAGTCAAGGTTATTGCTCTCTTGCAAAACAACCTCTTCAGACTTTCTGACATATGCCTACATACCAGTCATAAAGAGCATCATATAAGTGCGTACTTTTAACCCCTGCTTCTTAAATCACTGCTCTTGGTCATAAATTTATCAGCTCTAGAATGAAAAGCATGTGATCAGTGCAGTGACACTGCTTGGCAGCCACCTACAATATTTGCATGCCATTGTCATTCTTTCCTCCTGCACCAATAAAAGTAAGATATAAACAGTCAGTGAACATAGCTCATCCAAACTGTAAGAAAATACAGCATTATCGTGAGTTCTATGAAGGCTATTTATGAAGTTTATTTATTCCTCATGCATCCAAAGAGTGAGCAGATTCACAAAATTCAGTGTTTACATAATGCTAGCTTACATACTTTTAAAAGGTGACAGAGGTTCAACATCTTCTGTTGAAGTTTGTGCCTCTCTTGGCATTTCACACCTATTTCATTTTATTTGAACACTTCAAAGCAATAAGGTTTTCTCCCACCCCAAAGGGGCTAGCATCCACTAGAACTGCACAAAGACCTGAAGTCTCAATAGTCAACTTTCTGTTCAGTCTGGATTTCAGTGTAAGAGAATTAAAATTGGGAACGGTCTGTTGGACAAACGAACTTTCAGAAGCTATGAATAAAACCACTCAAAGGGCAGGCTGTAAACACTGTTTACCATTGTCTACACAACACGTGAAGAAAAGTCTCTAATTTTCACAGCACTAAATACAAATTTCCTTCTAATGCAGAGAAAGTTGCAGGAAAGTCACTAGAGAACTTGTAAGAGGAACAGAGCTGCACTTTCACCTCCTAAAGCAGCAGTCCTAACTAGTGCCGAGGCCTAAAATACTGTAACAGAGATACTATTTAAAGGGTTTATAGCCAGGTACAGTACACCACTATAAGAAACTAATCAAGCAATTGTGGTTTACCTTTCTTTCGGTACTACTAAACTTAAAGAAAATGCTTCAGCATATTTTCAAACAGATTTCTGCTAACTTTCAAAAAACTTTTGGAAAAAGTTGTTTTTGACACCACTGAAACCTTTAATAAGACCCCTGTGATATTTACAGGTGAGTACACTTACTACATGTAGCTCATTTCATCTTGTATGACTGTGGGCACCATATAGTCAATCTAAAAAAAAAAAACAAACACAATAAAAAGGCAAAGAAAACACAAATAAGTAGATTTCTGTATGAAGATTAACACATGTTTTTAATGTTAGGCTTTGAAAGCTACTTACCTGTTTCATATCCAGCGGACCAATGTTGGTGATGTTGTTTAACCGTGCTTTGCCAATAACTGTTTTTGAAAACTGAACTTGGGCTGTGATATTTGCCACTTCAACAGAGTAATAGTTGTTATTCGTTATATTAAGTGTGTTCTGAAAAAACAAACACAAAACACTAATAGCTATCCATTATCAGCTGTGTATCTTGATGAGCAAGCATTTTGAATCTTGGGCATGAGTATGAGTATAATCAGAAATTCTGCGACTAAATTTTCCTGCCTGTGAGGATTGCAGAGAGGAGTGGGGTCATGGACCATTACTTAACTCCCTTCTGAGTTTGTTTAGTGAATATATTGAGTAACACAAACTTCTGCACAACTTTTCTGGTTACAACCCTCCACTTCAAATACTGCATTACTTCTTATCCTCAATTATTCCATACAGGGAATTTAGCTATCAAAGGACCTCTTTCTCTCACGGCAGCTCTGCTTTATTTAAAATGAAGAATTCTGACAAAAGTCTTTAGGCAATCCTGTATCAAGGTCATAACAAAGAAATCAAGAGCTATGTGGGAAGAGCTCCTTTAAGTTTTAAGGTGCATAAGAAAATATTTTTCCTCAACACCAATTTTGACAGAGGCATAATACCAGAGCAGTAGCAAATTGCATTCCTACATATAACATTTCATATAGATTCCAAAAGTAACTCCAAAGTTACTGAGAGTTATTGAGAACTCCAAAGTTACTGTTCCCTTGAAAACAGAAGACCCAGTGCCAGCCTACAGCTACACCTCTACAAGCTATAGCTGCAAGAACCAGCCACAGTAGGCTCAGTTACATTTTTCAAACTGGTCACCAATTCTAGTTCTTAAAGCACTAGCTAGGCGTTTCAGCCAGACCACAGTTTCCACTTAAATTAAACTCTCAAAGCAGTATCTCCTGTTGCATTTATGCATTACAAGAACCCAAACAGTCAGACTTACCGTAATATTTAGGTAGATTATCCGCCTATCCTGTTCATAAGTGACATACACCGACTTCACACCAATGTACTGAACGTCAATCGAGCGAGGGAACAAGAAAAATACAGCCAGCCCAGAAAGTAGTAAACACACAGTTACAGAAGCAGTCACATAGAGCTTTCTGGAGGAAAAAAAACACATTTCAGAGTCAACAGCACATTAAAAAGAGTGTCATACTATTTTCTTTTAAGGGATAAGGAGCAGGACTAGCGAATACAACTAATTCAGTCTATTTCTAGCTTCCATTAGCTTCTAAAAAGGAAAAAAAAACACCCTATGCTGCACTTCACAGCTATGTCTTAAACAGCTATTACTCTAGCATATACATCAGAAATCACATTTCAAATCATGTGGTTATCACAACATATGCAACTTGCAAAGGAAAATGGAAGAAGTAAATATTTAATTGTTTTGAAACAAATCCACTTCCTCTTAACATTTATTTATAGCACAACTTGTGTCATTTCATGGAAATCTCACAAAAAACACCCAGAATACAAAATAAAGCTCTTATGACAGAGAATCTCAATTCCCAGAGAAAGTGTTAAGACTTCTTAGCTGAAGCAGGAAATTCATTATCAAGCTAATACAAATGGGTGTGTTTGTGTGGCTGTGGCTCTGTGTGTGTGTATGTGCATAGGAGGGTGGGGTGGTGGCAGTGGTGTGAGAGATAATAAATAAAGCCTCCACAAATAAAAAGATCTACTTCAGCTCCTATTTTGTCAAGTTTCAACACTAGAGTAATATGTTTCATATTTGTACTACCATTACATCAGATATATTATCCAGAATAGTGTTATGTGAAGCTAATATATTTCTTTTTCCTAGTACTCATTTCTGTTTACTACAAAAATATCAAAACATTAAAAAAAATGAAATAAAAACCAAAACATGTCATAATAAGAAGCCCTGAGCATTAAAGTGAACCCCCTAAGTAATCCTAGAAAAAGAAATGAAATATGCTGTATCATAAATTGTTGATTTTTCTAGCTGCAAAAAGCAAAATGTTACAAATTAATTTTAGGTGACTTATTTTGTAGTAGTGGCTCAAAGATTGCAATGATTAATTCTAATAGTGAAGATGTGTCTGCTTAGATCAATTAGGATGCTACAGAGCTTGAGACATACATCATTACTGTAAACATGTACATGAATAGATCATGCAGTATTCCTTAGCTTTGCATTCTATTTACTGCTAGCTCCTTTGAATTGCTGAATTTTAACTAGAAGAGAATAATTAAGTGTAGATTCAAGTTTCACAAACAGCTATTGACTTACGTTCTTCTTGGCCTCAGCCTTTGATCACTGTATGGAATTAAGGCTACCAGCTGATTTTCCTGCCCTAGAAACAAAAACACACTTTCAGAATTTAAACAAATAGCAAGTGTTGTTGCAGCTCTTTTAAACAAAGAGTACCTGTTACAACTTAGTGGTACCAAAGAACAGACACTAAAGATAAACATTTAAATTCCAGATAAGGACCCAGGTCGAATGCTACTGTAGCTGATGTCACTTTCTGAAATAGAGCATGGCTTATGCAACATCAAGATGAAAAAGCGCCAAGTTCACAAGGACCGAAACAGCAATAAATTCTGCCTCTGTGCTGCACACATGACTGGAGGCAGTATTGCCTCTGGCACCACTTCCTGAAGAAAAAGAGATGTAGAACAGCTCTGAGCTCTCTATGCCAGACCATATGAACTCACGGAACAAAACACTTAGAAGCTTAGGCAGTAAGAACTGATCCAGAAGTCATTCTGCATGTACTCTTCTGAAAAGCAGAAGTCAGGTTTGGTTAAAAAACCCCAACAGACAACTGAAACAACCAAAGCTATCAACACAGTTGATCTGGGCAACAAAGGCTATGCATATACTGCATTCTGGAAATCAGGAGTATATAAAACCACACTTACCATAGTGCTGCTGAGCTGCAGCACCCTGGAAGTCAAAATAAGTATTTACTGGAATTTCTCCATGAAAGTTATGTCACTAGACAGCATTTTTAAATGGGGTATCTTAACAGCAGAAGTAAAGAGCACATGCACAGATGAGTAGTTGAAAATACATGTACTACATCTGCCTGTAGAGCTTTTGCTATTTGTTGTGGTACTGTATGAGAACAGAAGCCTCAAGGCCAAGTCAGATCTGCAATTTTTAAGCCAAATGCAGAATTTGATCAAATCAGCACTTAGGGAATCAAGCACTTGGCAATGATTCCATGCTGAATCACTAAGCTAAGCAAAACATGCTAACCAAGCACATAGTACCATGCAAAACATCAACCTTTTAAAAGGTTTCTGCCAATTTAAAACACATTTTCATCTCTACTTCAATGAAGCATCTTCAACCTTTGAAGAAAATAGCACAGTCCTGCTTTCATACATCATACTAAAAAACTAAAGCTGTCCAAGTAACAAAACATAATTTCATGGATTTATTATAGTTTAGCCATTATATTATGAATTAATTATAGTCTTACTAGTCATGCTGTCATTCTTAGTTTTTCCCCTCTCCTCTCAAATGTGATATCTTTTTCCTCTCTGAAATACTAAGGAATAATCATAAAGACAATCCTCTTAGCTCTAATAACTCATTTTAAGTTCTAAGTTTAACCACATTATTTCATTAGAATGTATAGACAACTTGCCAGTTTTTATAGTTACTGTAAAATCTTTAATAAAACAATTAACTTACATTTACATGTAAGGATTCTACAATGAAAATAAGAAACTTTAGGACTTACAAATCATGCTATTTCTGCATTTTGAGTAAAATGTGCTATTGATAGTAACAAGAATTTCAAGTTAACAGAACTTCTTTACCCTTTCTAGCTAAGGCAATTTTTAGGTTCATAGTTTTTCCAGGTGTCAAACTTGCTGAATTCAGAGGTACTCCAAGAATACATTGTAGTAGAAAGTTTAATAGCTAAGTCACAAATATCCTATGGTATTTGCAACCACTGAAATATTCTATGCTCCCTGATCCTTCTACAAAGGTGAGATGCAAGTGTTTGTGAACACTTCTCTCCTTCTGCCCAGTTTCAGGTATCCCGCATTTTCCTTTCACAGGTCTCTTCATAAATATGTAGGCAGCTTATCGTTTAGGAAAGAAGCACGACAAACCAGCATGTTTTACCAAGAGGAAAAGCAAAGGATGAGGGCAAAGCAAACAAAACAGGTAAGGATACTAATGCTGTGTAGCCTGCTCCCTCCTGAGGCAGCCAAAGAACCTATATATTTTCAACTCCAAGCTGGAGTTATCCACCTAGCAAGCACCAGTGGGACAAAAGGAGGATAAAAAGGAAAACAAGGGACATTGGCAGCAGTGAGAGCAAAAAAATTCACTATATATCAGGGAACAGCTGTTGCAGCCCAGGTCTACTTTTCCATCTCAGTATTTGCAGCCATTTTTGCAGTTATGTATTGATCAAATAGTTTAAACTAGGTAGTTAAAAAAAGATGCAATAAAACGTCATGAAACCGAAGGTTGGCTACTTTAACTTGCAGGAGCTATGGTTATGTGTGCATTCAAAGCTGAGGAGGAAGAAACAGTTGCATTGGACAAGAGGAGATCCAAGTTGTAACAGCCAAGGTGTAACAGCTGACCCAATCTGTTATACTCATCTGGTTTAACAAAATGCTCAGTAATAAAAAAATGTCAAAAAGGGGAGAAAACTTCATCTTGACTTGAAAAGCTATTTATTATGAATTATTACAACTACATATGGCTATGATGTAAATTTATAGGTTAAAAAAAGAAATGAAAGTAATAAACAAGGAAACTTACCTCGTGGAATTCTTCCTGTTCCTTGGCAGGTTGGGCAGGTGACACTGTCTCTTCCTGTGAATTCCACATAGGGAAACTGTGACACATCTCCACATCTGCTGTCTTCATTGTGCACTTCTGAGTGAACTAAACCATTCCTCACGTTATCAGATGAGCTTCCATCATAGCCATCTTCCTTGCATGTGTGCATAGGCAGGTGAGAAAGTGATTTTCCCATGTCTAAAAAAAAAGTCAGAAGTTTTCAAGGAGAATGATTCAAACACGGCTTTGCACCAGGTAACTGTTAGTCTGTGGCCATAGTCTGATAAGACTCAGTTCTCCTTTGTTCAGATTCTCCAATATGCACAGGTTGAAAGGGGATCTATGAGAAGCTTTAAAATTAGAACAGTACAACTGCTGGCAAAAGTTGTAATGCCTTTTCAAAGAATTGTTATTGTACAGGCTTTAACACAACACCCTGATCTTTGTATTAAAAAAAAAAAAAAAATCAAGACTGGGCCATAGAAAGCAATTTTGAGTAGTCTACACACACGACAGATCCAATTTTAGTATTTTTTTTAGCCTGGAATTCTTTTCAGAACATAAGATTGGGTATTCCAAGCTCGAAATATAGATTGCCTGGTATTCAAACTGATTATTCCTCTTAATTCAAAACAGGACTAATTCACAGGGAAGTCAAGTAAAAAATGGGAGTTACTTAAACGTAGCAGCTGCATTTATGAAGCATTATGAATGCATTTATAGCATTTATGAAGACTTGTTTAAAAAAGAGTACTCACAAAAGCATTTTTTGTTAACTATGTGTATTTTAATTTTTTCTCATTACTGTAGCTCTGCAGCCATGACACTGAAAATACCTTGAAACACAGAACTTTTGAAACTAAAGTATGTAAAAAAGCACAGCAAGCAGAAACCTCCCCAGTTTGCAACATGTGGGAAAAAAACTCCAAGATAAAAAAAAATAAGCCTCTATAGCAAAGGCAATTAGTTGTCCAGCTCATGCACATAACCCATTTTAGTTACTTAACACACAGAGACAAGAGTCACTCGATTCATCACTGTTTTGAGGAACCGCATGATTTAAAAAGAATATGCAAAACTTCACTGGTTTTTTTTCCATTAAAATGGTATTTTTAGAGTGGCAGCTAAGAATTATCATGTTGGTTCACCAAAAGGAAGCCCTAAAAAGATTAAAAGAGGAAAACAAGTCAGACTATTTTAAACCAGCTACTTTAAGACAGAACAGAGATATCTCAAATATAGTGACGGCAATGCAAACACAACATGAATTCATTACATTGCCACAAGGGCTAGGTGAATGTGAGAGAAGGAAAGTAAGTCAACAAATGCCAAGTAGTCCTAGTTACTGCCCCAGCAAAAATGCAGGATTATTTTTTTCATTTGTATCATTAAACTCTTACAAGCAGAGAAAGCTATTCACCCTTCTGCTGCTACAGTACTTTTAAAACATCCTAAGTTTGGGAGCCATTTAATAATGGAAATTGTTGAATTGAAAATTAAAACTACTGAGCTATTGAAAAAAAAGAATTCTGAAAAAGCTGCTGACACTGTTGACAGTTATTGCACATGAGGTTTTTGTTTACTTTTCTCCTTGCAGCTGACCTACAGCTACGGAACCTGAGTCTTGCAGCTTAGGCAATAGCTGTCACAATTATAGATCTGAAAGCTTAGGGATCATGCTGTTCTGCCACCACTTCATCCAACTGACTACAACCAACACCCACTGACAACAGAAGTGCACATTCTAGTTATAGCTTCTTCCAGAAGGAAAAGTTCACACACTCCCTGATCACACTGTGACATGAACCAAAGTGCAGCAGGCAAGGATGACTAGGAACTCCTCTCAAGAGCACATCCTTTATTCAAATTAAAGTACTAATGCAGGTGCATCCTTCAATGCCAACTGTAACTGAGCTTCAATAATTGAATTTAATGGTGACAGAAACCAGAGAGAACATCTCAGTTCACAAACAGGAAAACAAAGAACCACCTTCAAGCAAAATTGGATTCATCAGCATGCTTTTTCCCCCTGCCAAGCCTGAACCTTATTACAGCCGACCACAAATCAAGAACATGTTGATCTTTTATCCAGCACTTATAAGCTAAACAGTAATAACTCTGACAATAGAAATCTCTGTATGTCACAGCTTCTATACTGCCACCAAAGTCAGAAATCCTGCTTCATGAACAGCTCTGTGCTGGCCCAGTCTCCCCTGCAACTGATGTTATGAACCATTCCCCTTAGACTTATCTGGGGTTTCCATGAATTCAGAGTTTGTTAAAATTAGTTTGGTAAATTAAAAATGTTGTGACAAGTGGCACAAGTTTTGTTTACAACCACACCCTTCAACTTGCTATGCATTGCAGCACAATGGTACACGGACAAAACCCAAACAGTGTCACAAGACAGACTGAACCACCACATCCTGAGCTGCATGCAAGGCTAGGGAAAAAAACTTTGTTTATAAACTCAGTGAAACCTCATAGAGTCAAACTAAATTGTTATACCTCTCCAACAAGCTAGGCTGGTGCTCCTACCCTTTATATGTGAAAACATAAACATGAGATTACAAGCCTGCTTCTTTTTCAATACAGCAAGAGATTTCGAACGGCAACCACGGCCTGCCCCATCAGCTGTGCCTTACTGCGAACACCCCAAGCTCCTCCACAGCAGAGGATGCGGCAGGATAAGGCCGTGACTTAGCAGCCACACGCCTGTCCAGCTCGGGTGGGCACGACCAGCGCTGCCTTTCCCGACCCCCTCACGGACCCACACTCGGACACTGCCTGAGCGGTAAGGCGGGCGCTGCCAAAATAAAGGAGTCAAAAATCCTGTGGTTTAGGGATTTTCTCGTCCACCAGCGCCAGCTGCCCTCACAAACATGGCGAAGTTTACAGCCGGCAGGCTTGGACCAAGGCCCGGCGAGCTCGGCTGCTGCTGGGCTGCCCGGCCGGCCCCCGGTTCCCGCTCGGCCTGGGGTGGTCTTGGCGCGGGAGCCGTCCCGGGGCAGGAAAAGGTAAGGCTGGGAAAGGCAGGGCAGGGCAGGGTAAGGCCAGACCAGACCAGACCGGGCNGGCCGCGGGCGGAGCCGCCTGCCCGCTCCTCTCCTCTCCTGGCCGGCTGGGCCGTGCCCGACCGCGGGGCTCCCGCAGGGCTCGGGGGTGGTGTAGTAAACGCCGTGCCGAGGGGTGCCATCCCGAGAGTGGACTCAAGGGTGCGGGAAAGGGGAATAGGGAGGTCGCGCAGCCCCGCTTTGCGGCAGAGGGACTAAAGGCGACAGAGCGGGATTCCATCCGGAGTTTCCCTGTCAGGCGTGGTTCAGAATCCCATTAACAGAAACATCAAGGTTGGAAAAAACCTCTAAGATCGTCGAATCCAACCTATGTCCGAACCACCATGTCAACTAGACCACGGCACCAAGGGCGACGTCCAGTCTTTCCTTAAACACCTCCAGGGACAGTGACTCCAGCACTTCCCAGGACAGTCCATCCCAATGTCTAATCACCAGTTAGGTGAAAAAATTCTTCCTACCGTCCAACCTAACCACCCCCCGGTGCGGGTTAAACCCATGTCCTCTCGTCCTATTGCTAGCTTGCTTGTCGCCCGCAGCCATGAGCGCCCCCTCCTTCTGTCCTCAGCTTCGCGCTGCCGTGTGAGGCACCACCGCTGTTCTCTGTGCCCTCTTTGGTAGCTCTGGGGGAATTTCCTCTCCCCCTTGTGCTCTGGGAGCCAGGAGATCCTCATGAGAGCAAAGCGGTGGCAGGTCAGCGGTAAGACGGGCTGGGAAGGAGTGCAGCGCGTTTTCATCACTCACTATACAATGTTGCTTGTACAGCGGGTGTTTTATCCGGGGCACGGGCATGAGGTGTTCTCCCAAAGATTTGCCAGAGCAAGATGAAGTGCGTTGGAACTAAGTTGTGATGGCTTCTCTTCATGGCTTCTCTTCATGACTCTTGTTCACTAAAGCCTCTGTCTTTGAAGATGCTCGAGACGACCCTGTGGGGATCCCTGAGCCCCAAAGGGATGAGATCTGTGCAGGGGGACACAGCTTAGAAGGAAAGCAGGAAGAAGCTCTGCCTGGTTTGGGAACCTCGGCCCGGCTGCAGGAATGAATCAGGCTAGGGATAGTGCTGTGATTCACACCATATATTGCAGTGCAAGGACAAGCACAGGGTCAGGGTTCGAGGGGGAGAATGAGGAAGAGAGGCTCTTAGGACTGTTTGGGGCGATCACGAGGCTGGGGCACGGTGCCAGGCTGCTCCAGGGGCTGGGAGGAAGGAGACAGGCTGCCTCCAGCAGCCGCCCAGAGCAGGTGCAGCTCTGAGGCCCTCTGCAGTACAGCCATGCCTACAGTGTGCACAGCACTTGCTAGTGGGACCGGCATATGATCAGCACAGAAAAGAACTTTTTCCCAACCAAGCATATGCTTAGGCAAAAAAAATAAAAAATAAAAAATATTAATTTATCTTTAACCAGGCCAGTGTCAGCCCATTTATTCTCTTTATCCTTGGAACTTCTTGGTGTTTTCTGGGAGTTTAAGAAGTCTTGTCTTGCAGTAGTCTCTAGCTTTCATTATCCAGTTCAAGTAATGGTGAGTCCTGCATTGCAGCTGGCTTGACTCTACTGATCTAGCCAGGCATGGTCAAGCTCCTGGCAGTACTGGCAAAAGCTGGCATGTTCCATGTCCTTCTGGTAGATCTCCACCTGAATCTTTGGCCCATCACTGTTCAAGGTTCTTGAGGTACCCATATAAGGCTCTCTGTACAGCAAGATAGACCTTGGTATTTTGTGAGCTCTTAACTACAAAACAATATGTATCAGATAACTTGAAGAGGTGCCTGGCATGCTCAGGATCAATATGGAGTTTGTATCTCACTTTAAAACATCAGCAAATCCCAAATTTGGAAGGCTCAGGTCTAACTAGCAATTTCACTGGCTATTAGCTTTTGGATCTGGCTCAACTTCACATTGTTCCAGGGAGCACAAAATGCACTGTGAAAAATCCTCATAGCTTTCAGCTGTACAAACAGAAAGTAAGAACACCAAGTCTTTGCCTTTCACATTGTTTTAAATAATAGTGGCAGCCAGCCACATTGACCTGAATCATCACACAACAGGGGATGTGCCGGAAAAGGTCGAGAAAAATGGTTTTTGGAGTAGCTTTGGGAGATACCACTGAGTTCTGGCAATTAAATTTTCTCAATACAATTCTTTTTAAGCG